TTTTAGTTTTCCCCTTTTGTATCTGTTATGTAACTACTGTTTAGACTGAATGTTTTTGTACTGTACCGTTTAATAGGGATTAAGTCCCTGTCCTGAATGATTGTATACATTGTACATACTGTCTTGGTACTGATTGTATATATATATATATATATATGAAAAGTCTTTTTGCATTCAGACTGTCACAGCTCATTGGACATTGTCTATTTACTGTTTTGGCTTCCGCCATGCCCCTGTACTCTGTATTACTGTACTACTGTTAAGTAGGCCTTCGGTAATCTCGGATTACTAGCCGGTTACGGTGCTAAACCCATATGGACGGGTTTGGATCGTGACAATACCTACTTGAGCGTGAGACACAAGTCCTCGCTTGAGCGTGCATTCTCCCGCTCGAGCGGACTGTAAACACATGCAAAATACTGGACACACGCATTTCCCGCTCGAGCGTCACTTTACCCGCCCGAGCGGACTGCATGAACACAGGTTGTACGCTCGAGGGTGGAGTTCCCCGCTCGAGCGTGAGTCCAAATTCTGGAAATTCCAGATTGAACCTTCAAGCTCAAAATCAGCTTTAAATGTACCAAATTCGATCCTTTTTGGCTAATTTTCTGGAAAACACTTGTAAACTCATAATATGACATGTTTCAAAGATCAATTTGTGAAATCAAAGCCCAAATGTAGTTCTATTTGAACACAATTTCAATAAACTTCAAGAACAAGACTCAAATGTAACATGCATGAACTTATATGAACTTAAAGCTTCAAACACAAGATCAAATGGGCCAATCCTTCCAAAAACATGGTGAATTCATGGATTATAACAATAATATGGACATAAATGCAATAATTTTCATGAAAACAACTCTAAACTTCAAGATATGCACATGCATGCATGATTTAAGCCTCAACTCAACTCACTAAACTTCCATAAATCATGCATGATATAACTCAAATGCAAGCTCAAGAAGATGGTTCTCCTACCTTAGACCTTGAATTTCAAGTGTAGAAGCTCAATAATGCAAGACTCCTTCAATTTCTCTTAAGTCTCCAAGCAATTTTGATGAACTCAAATTTTCTCCTAACTCTCTCTCTCTCTAGTCGGTTTAGGCTCAGAAAATAGAGAACAATTGATGCATCAAATATGTAATAGGCTTCAAACATGAATTGATAAGTGGCCCACTATCATGGCACTAAGGTAAATAAGTCCAACTATTGTAATTTATCATTATTTAACCTAATTTAGTCATACCAAATCAGTTTTAATTAAACATACCATAAATTCACATAAATTCTAATTAACATAAAACACTAATCAATTTCTGGTTCGGCCGCCGATAAGGCCTTAAATCTGCAGTTTAAAACATAAAACATGAACATATCATTTAGCAGTCAAACAGATAGATTTGCATTTAAACTAATACACTCAATCAATCAGTTCAGAATTTCAGTCAATCAGTCACTTAACATGCTTAATCATAGATTAACACTAATTAGTGGTGAGGGTTGTCACAGTAATATACCAATTTTATTAAAACATTGTATTTGAATTTTAGATTTGTAAAGGATTTTTTGTTTTTTGTTTTTTATTTTTTATTTTTTTTTTTGACCAACAGCCCAACGTTTCGAATTGTTTTGGCAGAGGTCCAAGGTTGAATCTTTGTTAGTTATAAAAACACACACACAATGTTATCGGGCTGGTAAATCCAAATATGTGGTAGTAAAGACAATTTTTAATAAATCCGTTTTCAATAAAATTTATGTCTCTTAGACTCATCTTTTCAAGATTTTTAAAACAAAATCTATATTGGATATGAAATTCCAATATATATATATATATATATATAATATATTCAGCAGATAGACCTTTTGGTCCCATTTTGAAACTACCATAGCAAAGGAACTATGTATTTGATATCATGTAAACTATGTATTTCATGATTCATGTGTAAAAGTAAACATTCAAAGTCAAAACAACATTTTTTTGTGAAAGTATAAATTCAAAGTATAAAAAAAATAAATAAATAAAAAAATCTAAAAGGAACTACCTAATGCAATGTTATGGTGTATTGAAGTTTTAGCACTACATATATCAGTAACTATTTTTAAATTTCTAAAATAAACACATATATGGTTGTGCCCATTTTTAATTTTAAAAAGAGATTTACTAGTGCCTAAATAAAAAACAGATGGCACAAATAATACACAGATATTACACAGACAATGCACAAATAAAACACCAATAGCACAAATAGTGCACAGGTAATGTATAGATAGTGCACAGATTGCACTGATAATGCACAGATATACACTTGTCTCTATTTTTTAATTTAATAGTGTATATATATATTTCTATTTATTCTTATTTTTAATTTAAAAGTGTACAAATAAACTTCTAGACCTATCTGTCTCCATTTTTTAATTTTATCAATCCAAAATTAATTGTGCATAATACGAAGCTTTCAAAATTAATTTCAAAAATGATAAAATTTTTAGTTAAAAATACCCCTCTCTCTCTCTCTCTCTCTCTCTCTCTCTTATTTTTTAATTTAAAAGTGCAGAGATAGATCTGTCTCTTTAAATCACCAAAAAAGTTATTGGTGATGGCCGACGTCAATAAGCAATGGTTGAGGTGGTTAGGATAAAAAAGATTTGTTATTTGAAAGTGCAGAGATATAGGTCTGTCTCTTTAAATCACCAAAAAAGTTATCGGTGATGGCCGATGTCAATAAACAATGGTTGAGGTGGTTACGATAAAAAAGATTTGTTATTTGAAAGTGCAGAGATAGACCTATCTGTTTAAATCACCAAAAAAGTCATCAGTGATGGCTGGCGTCAATAAGCAATGATTGAAATAGTTAGGATAAAGGAGATTTGTTGTTATAATTGAGGACAATATAATCTTTTAAATTGTAATTATTCTTATGACCCTAAAAAAAAAAGCTTGAGCCAATTGTCTCCAAAATTTTAAAATTAGACTTATAGCCATTGTGTTGTTAATTAAAGGGAAATAAATAAATTATACACAAAAATGGAGTGCCTTGTAGGGTGCTCAGCAGATATTTCGATCAATCCAAACCGATCAAACCGAACCGATCCGTCATATTTTGGACAGACGCATGATAACAAGCGGACGGTTATGGGTTAATTTTTTCCCATCCACCTAATTTTAGATGGATGGAGGATTTTAGATTCTTTTGGCCGCAACCAAACCGCCAATCCGCAAACACCCTTAGTAATTTGTAAGATTTTATATTTTTGATTTTTTAAATATTCTATTTATGTTTTCAATTGAAAAAAAAGTTAGATATTCTGTTATGTTTTCAATTTGTTTTCAATTTGAAAATCTTTTTATCAAATGACAAGTGTTAATATTTGATATTTTTGTGTAGAAAATATTAGGCTTAATTTTGTTATTTTGAAAAAAAAAAATCAAATTAAATAGTTTTTTAATTAAAAAAAAATAATGAAATAGTTTTGATAATGTATGGTTGAAAATCTTTTTATCAAATGGCAAGTGTTAATATTTGATATTTTTGTGTAGAAAATATTAGGCTTAATTTTTTTATTTTGAAAAAAAAAATCAAATTAAATTATTTTTTAATTAAAAAAAAATAATGAAATAGTTTTGATAATGTATAGTTTTCTTATATATATATATATATATTTATTATTAGTATTTGACAATTTACTTGACAATCTTTTGGTTAGTTGAGTTGAATTGTTACTCACAAAAAGTATTGACAAATTATTGTATTATGTTCAAAATTTGTAAAAATTTAAATCGCCTAACCGATTCGTATTAATCCACCAATCTACCAATCCAATCAATCTGCATCCACCAAAACAGTGGACAGATGTGAATTGATTTCTTTCAATTCGCCAATCCGACAAACGGATAACAGATCGAAAGTTCTCCTACCGCAACCGAACCGCGAGCACTTGACAATGATACTAGCGCTTGTGAGTCTAGGTTGTAATTTAGCCATATTTCACACACAACAGATGCGGTACTTTTTATTTTCACACAAACTCTCGTAATTCTTCTTTTTTTCTCTAGACCCGAACTTTAAAATCTAATTATTTGTTCAAAACACAACTTACCGTGTAAAAAATATCCATCTTCAACTTTAAAATCTAATTATTTGTTCAATACACCACTTACCATCTTCCACTTTAAAATGTAATTGTTTGTTCAGTACACAACTTACCGAATAAAAAATATTCATCTTCAACTTTCAAACCCTAACCCTATCTCTTTTCTCAACCGCTAGTATCAATATTAGCTTTATCAAAAATCTCATTATAAACAATACAAGAAGTAATATGATCCAACTCAATACTAGTTTGAAACAAGTTCATTAACCCTAACCTGCAAACAGTAACATAACCCAACTCAATACCATTTTGAAGCTCATTAAAACTAAAGCAACCTACTTCATACAAAATGAATTTACACAACACGAGCTACAAGCCTACAACCCCTTTCAAAAGATTGGGGACCAAAAAAATACTTGCTGAGGTACACAAATTCAAACTCACACACGAGGAGCCCAACAATTGAGCAGTTTTAAGTTTAACTCTCGCTCGTGTCTTCTGAATTTAACTAATATCTGAATTTAAGTAACACAGTTTACAAGGGCAAATTATTCAATACTCCCGGAGCACCACGTGTCTATACTCCAAACCAATCACCAATCAGTTAGTCCCATGTTGTCCCCCATCTCCAACATAAATCGTGGGCCCTTGTGTCTCTCCACCAATCAAAATATTATGGAGCACCACGTGTCCATACTCCAGGAGTACTGAATAATCACCCGTTTACAAGTGATCAGATATATGAGATTTACTCTGGAGAGATGACTCATAGGCCCTACCTTGAGGAGATTCCTCTCTCTCTCTCTCTCTCTCACACACACACACACACACATTTGAATTTTCAAATGAATACTGAGCATCAAACACCAAAAAAGAGTCTATAATTTCCAGGTCACCACAGGGCATGAATACATAAGAGTACTAACCATTTATAAAACAAGCCAGAAGTAGTCACTTCCAGGTTCATATTAATATTTCCATAAGCATATGTAACAAATTGTGCGACATATTTGATACCGAATCTGAATTTTTATATAAACATAAAATAATTTACAGGCACATACCCGTTTAAATAAAAAGGTATTGTCGTCCGTTGATATCAAAGCTCTCTCTCTCTCCCTCTCTCTCACTGACTTCCTTTCCTTTATTGGGATCGGACCACAATGGTTCCTGGCTCTTTACAGTCCCCCTTCGGCCTAAAATGCTATGCATCTTACCCTCAGCATGTCATCTCTGAAGACAAGGGGTTCACAACCTGAAAAAACAAAGCTGATCTCAGTAACACAAGACAACATGAAACTAAAAATATATATATACTTAAATAAGCTGTGCAAATTATAGTAATTGATTCATGAACCTCAAATACAAAAGAAAGATTGATTACCCTCATTGATTACCTTAAATACAATTCTAGTACAACTCTTACACTCCAAAATTTTAACAAATTGTTGCTTCAATCTTTGGTCATTCGAGATCATGCTTCTGTGCATGCCTTTATACAAATTCATTCAGCCTATTGCAAACTTCAAGATGCAATTTTTTGAAGTTGGAAATCTTTGAAATATGCACATCTATGAAATCTTCAGTTCAGATCTTCGAAATGAAATTTGTTTAAAGAGGTAGAAAATGCAATAATTTCCAAAAAAAAAAACTCATAATGCACTTTCTTCCACCCAAAAAAAATGTTTGGTTTAACTCACTTTTCAAAAAATTGAATTTTTTATTTTTCGTATTTTTTTTGTTTTAGTGAATGTTTTTAATATTTTATGCAATTTTTTTATTTTTTAGATACACCTAATTTAGACGCACTTAAAAAGTATAAATTTGTGAAAAAAAATTTAAAAATCCACCAAATACAAAAAAATAAAAATAAATAATAATACGAAAATTCAGTACATTTTTGTATTTTGTTGTATTCAAGGAATTTTTGAACAAATTTTATACTTTTTAAATATGTCAAGATTTTTTTATTTATTTTTTATTTTTTGGAACAAAAGTATATCAAGATTAAGTAGATCTAAAAAGTTCAAAAAAAAAAAAATTGATTAAAATATTTTTAAAAATCACTAAAAATAGAAAAATACAAATTGAAAACTCATAAAATTGTTTCTGAAAATTCCAGACCAAACAGAGTGGACCCTTACCTAGTTTCAACTTCAAAAACCCTATCACCTTCGTCAAAATCCTAAAACCCCAATTTTTTATCAACCTTTTCTACAATAAAACCAAGCCATTATCTGACTCTATGACCCTTCTACATCCAGTATGCTGACTTAAATTATAAAAAAGTGTTTCCCTCACTTGCCCTACATCAAGAGGGGTACATGGTACACAAAGGTAGACTGATGTGCTTCTATTGGGGCAGCTTGCTTCCTATGAGATTCTTCATTGTGAGTAGTGTTAAAAAGTCGGGTAAACTTCACTTCGCCTCCCTATGGTTTAGGCAGCGTGCGGTTTACTCCTCTGACTTTTGAAAATCACCACATAACCCCCTTGTGGTTACTAGATTGAAGTGCACAATTAACATTTTCATCTAACATAATAGTCTGTGCCTAACATGCGCCTAATGTGCAAATCGGCATGGAAAGATGATTTACTTCCGAATTAAATGACTAAAATGCCCTCATCTTCATGATCAATTTCCAAAGTCTAGCCTCATCTTCATCATCAATATCCAGATCAGTAAACCTCTACCCAGAAAAAAAATTTAAAAAAAAAAAAACAAAGAACAAGAAGAAGAAGAAAATACACAATCTTTTTAACTTAATTTTTATATAATTATATTTTACAGATAGATACATCTATATTTATATAGATACTGTAATTTTATACATATATATATACACTACATATTTATATATACCCTGTAAACAAAGCAGTACATATTTATATATACACTACATATTTATATATACACATTGAGAGCAGTCTTCACTCAAGCATTCCTCCTCTTGTGAACTACAACGCCAACAATCATGTCTCGCGTGTGTTCGGTGGCAGTTGCGCCGAACTACAACTCCGACGCTAGCGGTTGCGCTGCCGTCATCGGCACCGCCATCGGTGGCGGAGTATCTGGTTGTGCAGCCTTCAATGGTGGCGGAATCAACAGTGGCATCATGTTGTTTGGTGTACGGCTTACGGAAGAATCATTCAGGAAGAGAGGTACTCCATAGATCCATCCGCAATTTATCGATGAATTCATATCTAAATCAATCTCAATGTTGACAGATTTATAAGTAGTATTTGTGTTGATTTAATTGGTTTGTTTCAAATTACACCAAAATTTATTATGTAATGCTCACTAGATTCCAACCTAATTGGTTTGAACTTTAAACTTGAAGGCAAATTGAACTTTAATTAAATTAATTTTTTATAGAAATTATATTGTTTAAATTAATTTGTTAAATTAAAACCCCAATTTCACATGTCAAAACCTTAAGTTTTCTACAACCCTTACTTTTCTCAAATGCACAATTGTGGAATGAGAAATGGTAAATAAAGGTTATATATATAAGGGCAAAATAGCTTTTTTTACTTATGCCGTTAACGGTGTTAATTGTGCACTTCAATCTAATAACCACAAGGGGGGTTATGTGGTAATTTCTAAAAGTCAGGGAGGAAAACCGCACGCAGCTCAAGCCATAGGGTGGTAAAGTGAAGTTTGCCCTAAAAAGTTTCTCCCCAGTAGAGTTGAAGAAGTTGATTTTACACTAGATTGAAAACCCTTTAAGCAAATAAAAGGGTTTGCAGATCTAGCACAATCTAAGCATCACTAACTAGGAAGATCAGAGACCCATTGAAATCAGAAAATGCATAACTGAAACCCATGCTCTTGAAACATTCCACCAAAACTCAAAGAAAACTCTAATCAAGGCCAAAAACTTTGTTTTTTGGTAATAAATCTGCAAATTTCAGCAAAATATGCTCATCCAGAAGCCATGAAATGCTGTAAATGAGCCTTAGATTTAAAGGATAATTGTGACTTGTGAGGTCCGTCACGAGAAAGTAAGAAACTTTGTCACAAATAGGTGACAGGTAGCCTATGAAGTAACCCGAACAAGAAGTAATGGCCTGGTAGCTAACAAATACTGATCCAAGTGCAAAAAATCAACAAGAATTTCAAGTAGCCACCTACCTAGGAGGTTGCACAAAGACTAAGAAACTGTGATTGGAATAATATTTGTGATAACAAACACTCAATATGTATTCGAGCCTAAATCAGGTAGCAATACTACTTAATTGTGTAACTTAAGAGAAATCCAGCTTCTAATCTTCCTCTTCTTTCTGCTATGAAAAAATGATCAACCCTAGACCTTAATCACATAAATTTTCCCTCATATTGGAGCAAACTTGACCTTGACTACTGTGACATCACACCCAAACGAATATTCATCCATGTGTTGGACACGTTGTCGATGTTTAAAGAGAAAAGAAAAAGAAAAAAAGAAACAGTTAAAGCAACTAGGTAAAATGATCTGAATTTTCTCTAAAATTGAGCATTATGTATTCATAAATGTATGTACGGGGTATGTATGTGTGCATGAAAAAGTAGTTTTTAACTTCATCTAAATAATTCAACGCCATATAATAGCATGAAACTAGCTAATATTTTGCATAAAACATGAAATAAACCAGACTGACAAATCAATTGCCAAACAAGGAAAATAAAATAAGTGTGTGCACGCATTAAAATAGAGCACAAATACACGCACAGGCACATGAAAGCTAGGAGAGAAAAAAAAAATAGAAGATATCAACTGCAACAGACAAGACAGCATGATCTACATAAAATAATATACAGTTACCAAGATTATTTATATGATACCATATCAGACTAACCTTCAAACATGAAATGCTGAGGACAGATGCAGATTGCTTAAATAATTTCCAAGAACTTAATTTGAAACTGAACTAGCAGCAATAGCTGCAGTGCTGCTGTCATTCCGTGAGGTTTCATGACGAGTTTCCACATTATTTTGGTTGAGCTGCTCTGTAACTGAAGGACCGGCTAGATTATGTGAAGCTGAAGCATGGTCCGCTCTGCTATTTTCTCTGGTTTCAAGGCGCTCCATCAAGCGAGAGACGCTAGCAATTCCAGCATTCACTTCCCTCCTAACTTCAGAACCAATGTCTGCCACAGAAGTGTTACTACGAGAGAACAGCCTCTCCCTCCACCCCCTTGTACCCTTTGAAATTGTCTCTTTGTATCTTAAATAATAATAATAATAAATAAATAAAATAAAATAAAATAAAATAAAATAAAATAAATTAACAAAATTAACAAAAAAAACAGATAACATGGTTCGAACTAGGAAAAAAAATTCAAGCAGTTCGCCACACAGAGAGAAGCTGAAAAAAAGTGTTGCTTTTACATGACATTGACTTGTACCTCATTGACATCGAATTAAATCGAGATTTCACTGATTCTGAAAATGACTGTAAATCCGATGGTCCTGCTCTATCTTGATTTGGCAGGGAAGTTTGACTGCAGGAAAAGAAATGCTTCAGAAAACTTATTGACAAAATAATGAGAATATAGTAAATAATAAAACAACAAATTCAGCTAATTATCACTACCGATTATGAGCAGATATTCCTTGTCGATTTCCCGGTATCATGGTAGATCCAGAGGATGAGGAGGAAAATTGATCAGTTTGAACAGAATGAAACTGGTGCCTATGCTGTTGCGGTTCATCCCCACCAGCAAGTGGAACAGATGGACTAGCTACAGTAATAGTAGCTGGTTCAGATTCCCCTCCTACAGGTGCCAGATAAGCAGGAGGTGAATTAGGATGAGAGGAAAGCACCACGAACTGTGGACGACCATGAACAGATGACCGACTCCTTGGGCCATCCCTCCGAGCAATGTGGTGGTGGGCCCTTCCCATTGCAGCAGCAGCAGCCAAGTGCTGGATAATTCGCTCTTCAAGCTCAGCATCATTTGCACCAACTGGTAACTGCGTTGTAAGAGAAAAAATAATAATAATAAAAAGTAGTTAAACTAAGCTTTCAAACGTTGATCAACCAAATTATGAATTCCACTTAGTATTGATAGATAACCTACATGCTGTAATTCGAAACCCCCAAGGGTGGGATGATGGAATATAGTGGAATTCCTTGAAGGATTAAACCTAAAGCTCCTCTCCCGTTCCACAGCTTCAAGCAATTCCTGACTGCCACAACAAAGAAAATAGGATATTATATTAAGAAACTAACAGCAAGAATATACAATAAGAAAGTGATGGCAAATATAAAATTAAAATTAAAATTACTATAGAGAGAAGCCAGAATGAACCTGGAAGGATCCTTCAAGCTAATGGATTGCCAACACATTGGACAGTTAGAGCTTCTCTGGCACCTATTGAGAGTGAGAGAGAGAGAGAGAGAGAGAGTTAAATTTCATGTTCGTCCATCCTTCTCTAGTTATTTACATTAGATTTCAAAATTCCAAGCTGGTACGCTAAGTGTAACCTTACATGCTAATTAGATCAGTTTATGCTGCCAATGCTGAATGGTTGTTTGGTGGAAAGCTTGAAGAAGGGCTTATAATAAACTTTTAAACAAGTCTATATCAGAATCTACACAAGATCCTAGATCTTCCAGAGAAACACCATGAAAGCAATTTCACCGGAACCAAAAACCTAGCCTTGGGAGGGGAAAACCACTCAAACTCAACAAATCAGATAATTTTAAGACTCCATCTATAAACATATTTGGTGTTCTCCTATTTCACATTTGGCAGGTCCATTTGAGTTTTTATGACATATCAAAACAAATTGAGATAAAGTCTATCCAACCTTACAATAATCCTAATTATATGAGATTGTGCTTGAAAGTGTGGTTGTTTACCGCCTGAACTAGTTTTGCTTGTAACATTTGTACATTTTAGATTACTCAACATTCCATCTTCAAAGTGTTGACCTAAATTTCTTTGTCTATGTCATAGTGAAAATTCAGATACCACTTGAAATTTCAGAATGAGGATGATTGAATTTCCTTCAAATTTAGAACCCTGTCAAATTCTGGGAAAAGAATGATGCCCACTAAACACAACCAGAATCATAAACATGAAGATGATCCCATTGAAAGGATGCTATCAGTATTTTTTCAAACAAAGACATCAAACTAGGTAGTTGTCCCCCTTATTGCCAACTAACCAAATTCTTGTTCTTCCAGCCTGTAAACATGAGTATAAATCTGTTTGTCTGTGCATGAATGTGTTTGTGTTGAATCAACGAATGCATGAGTGCACATGCGCATGCAAGGAAGAGAGAGAGAGAGAGAGAGAGAGAGAGAGGTCAACTGCACAACCTCAAGAATGACTGGAATTTTCAAGCTAAAAAACTGGTTGAATCCCATAAGACATGTATTTGATCTCATATGCCCTAGACGTAGTGGAGAACATCAAATTAGTGCGCCAAGACCATCAGACTCCTAGCCAAGACACTGGGTTGGCAATATTAAGCTAGGGTTACTCATGCTAGCCACAGCAGTATTAGATTTGCCAGTGCTACACACAATGCTGCAGTATATTGGGCATATGAGACCCATTTGTGCCCTTATTCATGCTATACAGAGAACAGGCAATATATGACGTGATACAAGTCCATCCACTGCTGGATCAGTTAGGAATTGAGCATCATTACTCAATTATGTACTTACAAAACCAAAGAGAGGGTGAAGAGACTTATGGTTTGGCAGGCATAGACAAATCACAATCAACACCTGGGTGGACTGGAGCAACATTGGAAAACAGTGAGCAACATCATAGTAAAACTAGCAAATCATTGTTGCACGCCCTTCACAGTGGTGTAGCCAGAAATTTTATTCAGTGGGGTCATTCAACCAACAATTACCAATATCAAATTTAAAGTTATGTAGAACCTAACAAAATCAACTTTAACACCACTGTAATAGGGTATTGACACTCCCCTTTTGCACAAATACACTACATTTTTTGTTTTCATTATACAAAATTACAACAAGTCCTTACATTTTATAATATAAATTAAAGGGCTTTGTTGTAATTTTGTACAACGAAGAAAAAAAAATGGACTGTATTTGTGCAAAATGGGACTGTGAATCACACTTCCCTGGCAATATCACCCATTTTCAATAAAAATTAAAATATAAAAATTAAAGCAAGATTACTAAAAATAGAAGAAGATATCGTCATTTCTTCAATAAATAATTCAATTTCAGCCTGAATTGATCAAATCCAACAAGTTCACTTGATTAGAACTGAATTCCAACTCATTTGACCAAATAATCAACAATCCCAACATAGACTCATCAACTAATCCAATAATTTCATATCAAATTTTGCTCAATTTCACCAAATTAACCAACGATTTTGGCTCAATTCCATCAAATAATAAATTCTTTTGGCACAAATTCTTTCGAAAAAAATTCAACAATTTTACTGATTTTAGTTCAATTCAAAATCAATTTCATCACAATTTTAGCACAAATTCATCAAATAATCAACACCTACTCAATTTCACTCAATAAATTTTATTGGAAATCGAGTCTCAAGTAACTTTCTTTTCCCTCTTCACATTGACCGATCAGTTTTGTTTTACTATTATTATTATTACCATTCTAAAGGGTTGACTGGGTCCAATTCAACACTCCCAACCATGTAGGTCCACCGCCCTTGATTACACATGGTAAATAAAAAATGCCGATGGCTGAGCAACAGGAGACTCCATCAGGTCCATTCACTTTTAAATGAAAAATGCCATGGCTGAGAGTATTTTACAAGCTACATTTCAAATGGGTACCATTCAAATTTTACATGCGCTCCCCCAACTATTTAAATCGCTAGATTTTCTATTTTATTATAGAAGTTTCTTTTCTCCCTTCCAAGAAGGTGAAAAATTCAAGGTTTGACCAAGAATTGTACCAAGAATATTCCTGACGAAAGTTATTAACTAAACAATCAAACACCTTAAATTGGAAATTAATTTATAGAAAAATAGAATTACAAAGTATTTTTATATCTTTCACATATTTTTCAATTAATCACAACATATCCTTTCAAAAACAGGAGAAATAGCAGAACAATGTCGATCCTATTCCCTCCAAAATAATCTAACCCTATGTTACTTGGAACGCAGATCATTCAAGTACAAGGAACGGGAACAAAAACATGGTACATCAAATGCTCTAAAATGTGGTACAATGGGGGTAGAATTGTATAAATCACAATACCAGAATTTAAGAGACTACTACATATAACAACAATTATATATTAATTGTTAGACATTCAATAAAATAAAGTTACAAATTAGTCATGTAAAAACACAATTCTAGAAGCATTATGGCCCATTTATTTTATATTTGGTCTTGCAAAAACATTATTCTTTCTAAATTTTAGTTCATTATTTTTTATTTGTTTCATCCTATAGGAAATTTTAAAGAATTATACAGGGAAAATTTTGGAATCACTTGCGATCGCTAAATTCTCTGTTTTGGAACGAAAGTGTACCATGTTTCAGACTGTGCATTCTAAAATGCAAATTGATAAGGTTTGGTGTTTCTGGATCACATCTAACCTTATTGTAAGACAGAAGGCACGACACAAGTTGAGGAGAATAGGAAACTATACATCAGTTGATAGCCCAGGAAATGCAAAATTAGCAAGTGTGAAGCACAATAGCAAACTGACAACAGAAAAGATGTGAGACCATACCATTCAAGAATGCACTGAAGGTGGAACTCATGCTTGCAAGTAGTCACCTGGAAGTGATTATTAATCAGTATTTACACAAGTCATTTCCTCAAAATTTTAACACACGAGAGATAATTGTGTTTTACTGTTGAAGGGTCACTCTCAATGAAGGCCTCCAGGCATATACTGCAAGCATCATCACAGGATTCTTGAATTCCCCCCTCCACAAAAGCTGCAGCTGATGTCAAATGACTTTCAGTCTTATTGATCTCATCCATCCCTGGGACCTTGTAAACACAAAAACCATGAATTTGATATCAAAAACTGCACATAAATCCCAACACTTTTCCAATTCACACAATTCGTCTGAAATAAACAAAAAGGGATAGAATCCAACTTAGAACTGCCTACAGCTCAATTTTGGCAAGGAATATTAATTTAGAGGAGTATCTAAAACCTTATTTAGAGAGAAAGGCATGGAGGTAGGAAGGGAGGAGGGACAAAGCAACTGACCTCCATGGGAAGTTAAGCAAATTTGTTATAAACTAATTGTATAACTAAAATCACACACAGAGGCATACCCGGAGGAAAAAGCCCTAAACAAAGCCTCCCCTAATTTACCCACTAATGACATGACAGGTTACGTGTCAGTTTTTGATACGTCACAAACTCAATTATGTAATGAATTGTGGGTTCTAAATTGTAGGTCTCTAGCATTCCTCAGAAAATCAATCTCTTTCCTATAAAATTTATCAGATTTAACACCCAAAGAGAAGAACAATCATCATTATCACCCACAAAACCAACAAGATAAAATGCCATGTACCCATATATAATATGTCTATTTATGTAATTTTTTGTATGTTATGTCTCATCAATGAACCTCTTTATGAGAGTACCATAACCTTTTCAGACAAAGAAAGGGGAAAGCATGGAAAACCCATAATAGTGAGACAATGTAATCAAGAGAATATCCATAATATCAAATTATCAACCAAAAAAAAAAAAAAATCCAAATATATAGTAAGAAAAAGAAAACAAATTTATGACTGTTTAAGACAAGAGAACAAAAGATCGAATTGAACCCAATAATGTATAGATCGTATAAAATTTTGGGATTTCTTCAATTACCTCCATTCCAAACTGAGAATTGTTCTCTGAATTGTGTCAAGAATTGGCAAAACAGCCCATGAACAGGAGGTCAAGTTTTTTAATTCCCCCCCACTGGAAAAGGGAATCCTTCGAAGGGATAGACCAAAAACCCTAGACTTTTAGAGAGAGAAGGACGTTTTGGAGAGAGAGAGAGGGAGACAGAGATTAATGGGTAGGAGAGAAGACAGAGGAGATGATGGAAGACATGTCCACCTTTAACTTTTATTTTATTTTATTTTTTTATTTAATTTTATTTAATTCTGTTTTTGTGTTAGAAAAGTCACAATTGGCATCAGATGGTGGGGTCTCCACCCCCACTTTAAAAATAGGGTAAATCACATTTTTTTGCACATAGGGTAAATTACATTAACCATGAAACCCTTCATGGGTGTTGATTTAGGCCTTGTTTGAGGATAGATTTTTTTAGTAATTTTTTGACTTTTTAATTACAATATAATATAAAAATAATTAATATGTTTAAGATGATTTTTTGACTTTTTACGAAAAGATGTGCAAAAAGTAGAGAGAAAATGAAAGTTTTGACTTTTTGGTATAAATTGTTGACTTTTTGATTTTTTTAGTGCCTTTTTAATTTTTTGACTAAAAAAATCACTTACCAAACGAGGCGTTAATTATATTTTACCTTTTGACATTTTAAAAATTATGTTCTTATTTTTGTAATTAATAATTCCATTTTACAAACTATTTCTTTATATAAAAGACAATAATTTTTAATAAAAAAATAGAACAAATTACATTAAAAAAAAAAAAGTTAAGCAAAATAAAAATAAAAAAAAAGTGAATGAATTTAATGTGTTCATCCCATCTAAATAATTACAATAACAATGAGTTAGTGTAAGTTTTTAAACGTGATATATATTAAATCCAAACCTCAGGGGTGTAAATGTAATTTATTCATAAAAATAAGAGTAAACTATCAATAGATTCTAATAGTTTGGCTTAATTTCCATCGAGTCCTATTGAAAATAACTTCTAATAAAATTGTCGCTAAAAATATTTTTTTTGTGATAATTTTTTACATATGTCGCTAAAATTGACAATTAGTGACTTTTTTGTCACGATTTTTTTATAAATTGTTATTAAAACTTATAATTAGTGACGTTTTTCTGTGATGAATTTTTCAAACTGTCACTGAAAGTTAAAAATTATTGACTTTTTTTGTACCGATTTTTTTAAATTGTCACTAAAACTTATAATTAATGATATTTTTTGTGACAAAATTTTCAAACTCTTGTTGGAAATTAACAATTAGTAACATTTTTCAATAGCGTTTGATGAAAAATGTCATTAATTATCATAGGATCTATTGGATAATAAATTCATTTATTAGGACCTATACGTACGTCCCCCAAAATGGTAAAGTGTCAATAGGTCCTAATAATTGAACTTAATTCCCATCAAGTACTATTAAAAATAAATTCTAATAAAATTATCGTTAAAAATAATTTTTTATAATAATTTTTTCCATATATCGTTCAAAATTGATAATTAGTAACTTTTTTTTGTCGCGATTTTTATAAATTATCTCTAAAACTTATAATTAGTGACTTTTTCTATGATGAATTTTTCAAACTGTCGCTGAAAATTAAAAATTAGTAACTTTTTGTGATGATTTTTTTAAATTGTCGCTAAAAGTTATAATTAGTGACATCTTTTGTGACAAAATTTGTAAACTGTAGTTGAAAATTAACAATTAGTGATATTTTTTAATAGTATTTAATGAAAAACGTCATTAATTATCATAAGACCCATTAGTCAATAAGTTCACCTATTAGGATCTATATGTAAGTATCCCCAAAAAAATTGATATACAAGTCTATTTTTTTGGATATAAGCTCACCTTCATATCTTATCTTTCCATGCCTCTTCATACTCTTCTCGTAAGTTTCAATCCGGACTCGTATTGATGATCCGAACCATCTATCTCGTAGGCCCTACAATAAAAGTTATCCATTTAAAAAATCAACTTCACCAAAAAATTATAAATACAAAAATAAATCACATTTTATTTTATAAAATGAATGATAAATATAATTAAATTTGAACTATCTGTTTTATAAAATAAAATGCGATTTATTCTTATATTTATAATTGTCCGATAAAGTTAATTTTTTGTGCGGATAACCTTCATTGCGGGACTAACGAGATAGATGATTCAGATTATCAATGCAAATTCAAATTAAAACTCATAAAAGGAGTATGTAGAGATATAGAAAGATGAAGTATGAAGGGGAACTTATCCCAAAGTAGGTCTAAATTTTGGACCTAAATAACAATACTAAAAAAAAATGTTATAACCAAATACTGAAAGAGGCTTGACACTCACGAGTCCTAACTAAAATAATGTCATAATTAAAGAAGAAAATTATATAATTAAAGGTACATATGGTACACCCCTTTCAAAGGAAGAAAATTGTATAATTAAAGGTGCATATGGTAAACCCCTTTCAAAGGATATGTATAGTAAAATTTTCCTTATTTTAAATTTAAATTTAAATTTGATTGTCGTGTTTAGATTAATAGAGTTTATTATGGGTCATATTTCAATAATCTAAATTATTTAATTTGTAAGAATCTCCAAGTATATTGTCCATGAAAACAATTAGATTAATATGATAATCGAAATTTTTTTATTTTTATTTTATCACGCTAAAAATAGATGACAAGTGTATAGAGATGGCAATTTGAACCCGACCCAACGGGGACCGAACCCCCAGACCCTGATTAGAATGGTTTTTCTCTGAAAAATATCCCCGACGGGCTGGAGATGGTATTCGAAAATATATCCCCGACAAGTTTCGGGCCGGGGACGGTTATGCATTCCCCGTCCCCATCCCTGTTTCCCTCGAACTGAAATTACTATTATACCCTCTATCTATTTATATTATATACCCCTCTCTCTCTCAGACAGACCCCTCAATTTCTCTCTCTCTCTCTCTCTCTCTCTCTCTCTCTCTCTCTCTCTCTCAACCCTAATCTCAAATATAGTAAATAATAAAACAACAAATTCAGCTAATTATCACTACCGATTATGAGCAGATATTCCTTGTCGATTTCCCGGTATCATGGTAGATCCAGAGGATGAGGAGGAAAATTGATCAGTTTGAACAGAATGAAACTGGTGCCTATGCTGTTGCGGTTCATCCCCACCAGCAAGTGGAACAGATGGACTAGCTACAGTAATAGTAGCTGGTTCAGATTCCCCTCCTACAGGTGCCAGATAAGCAGGAGGTGAATTAGGATGAGAGGAAAGCACCACGAACTGTGGACGACCATGAACAGATGACCGACTCCTTGGGCCATCCCTCCGAGCAATGTGGTGGTGGGCCCTTCCCATTGCAGCAGCAGCAGCCAAGTGCTGGATAATTCGCTCTTCAAGCTCAGCATCATTTGCACCAACTGGTAACTGCGTTGTAAGAGAAAAAATAATAATAATAAAAAGTAGTTAAACTAAGCTTTCAAACGTTGATCAACCAAATTATGAATTCCACTTAGTATTGATAGATAACCTACATGCTGTAATTCGAAACCCCCAAGGGTGGGATGATGGAATATAGTGGAATTCCTTGAAGGATTAAACCTAAAGCTCCTCTCCCGTTCCACAGCTTCAAGCAATTCCTGACTGCCACAACAAAGAAAATAGGATATTATATTAAGAAACTAACAGCAAGAATATACAATAAGAAAGTGATGGCAAATATAAAATTAAAATTAAAATTACTATAGAGAGAAGCCAGAATGAACCTGGAAGGATCCTTCAAGCTAATGGATTGCCAACACATTGGACAGTTAGAGCTTCTCTGGCACCTATTGAGAGAGAGAGAGAGAGAGAGAGAGAGTTAAATTTCATGTTCGTCCATCCTTCTCTAGTTATTTACATTAGATTTCAAAATTCCAAGCTGGTACGCTAAGTGTAACCTTACATGCTAATTAGATCAGTTTATGCTGCCAATGCTGAATGGTTGTTTGGTGGAAAGCTTGAAGAAGGGCTTATAATAAACTTTTAAACAAGTCTATATCAGAATCTACACAAGATCCTAGATCTTCCAGAGAAACACCATGAAAGCAATTTCACCGGAACCAAAAACCTAGCCTTGGGAGGGGAAAACCACTCAAACTCAACAAATCAGATAATTTTAAGACTCCATCTATAAACATATTTGGTGTTCTCCTATTTCACATTTGGCAGGTCCATTTGAGTTTTTATGACATATCAAAACAAATTGAGATAAAGTCTATCCAACCTTACAATAATCCTAATTATATGAGATTGTGCTTGAAAGTGTGGTTGTTTACCGCCTGAACTAGTTTTGCTTGTAACATTTGTACATTTTAGATTACTCAACATTCCATCTTCAAAGTGTTGACCTAAATTTCTTTGTCTATGTCATAGTGAAAATTCAGATACCACTTGAAATTTCAGAATGAGGATGATTGAATTTCCTTCAAATTTAGAACCCTGTCAAATTCTGGGAAAAGAATGATGCCCACTAAACACAACCAGAATCATAAACATGAAGATGATCCCATTGAAAGGATGCTATCAGTATTTTTTCAAACAAAGACATCAAACTAGGTAGTTGTCCCCCTTATTGCCAACTAACCAAATTCTTGTTCTTCCAGCCTGTAAACATGAGTATAAATCTGTTTGTCTGTGCATGAATGTGTTTGTGTTGAATCAACGAATGCATGAGTGCACATGCGCATGCAAGGAAGAGAGAGAGAGAGAGAGAGAGAGAGAGAGGTCAACTGCACAACCTCAAGAATGACTGGAATTTTCAAGCTAAAAAACTGGTTGAATCCCATAAGACATGTATTTGATCTCATATGCCCTAGACGTAGTGGAGAACATCAAATTAGTGCGCCAAGACCATCAGACTCCTAGCCAAGACACTGGGTTGGCAATATTAAGCTAGGGTTACTCATGCTAGCCACAGCAGTATTAGATTTGCCAGTGCTACACACAATGCTGCAGTATATTGGGCATATGAGACCCATTTGTGCCCTTATTCATGCTATACAGAGAACAGGCAATATATGACGTGATACAAGTCCATCCACTGCTGGATCAGTTAGGAATTGAGCATCATTACTCAATTATGTACTTACAAAACCAAAGAGAGGGTGAAGAGGCTTATGGTTTGGCAGGCATAGACAAATCACAATCAACACCTGGGTGGACTGGAGCAACATTGGAAAACAGTGAGCAACATCATAGTAAAACTAGCAAATCATTGTTGCACGCCCTTCACAGTGGTGTAGCCAGAAATTTTATTCAGTGGGGTCATTCAACCAACAATTACCAATATCAAATTTAAAGTTATGTAGAACCTAACAAAATCAACTTTAACACCACTGTAATAGGGTATTGACACTCCCCTTTTGCACAAATACACTACATTTTTTGTTTTCATTATACAAAATTACAACAAGTCCTTACATTTTATAATATAAATTAAAGGGCTTTGTTGTAATTTTGTACAACGAAGAAAAAAAAATGGACTGTATTTGTGCAAAATGGGACTGTGAATCACACTTCCCTGGCAATATCACCCATTTTCAATAAAAATTAAAATATAAAAATTAAAGCAAGATTACTAAAAATAGAAGAAGATATCGTCATTTCTTCAATAAATAATTCAATTTCAGCCTGAATTGATCAAATCCAACAAGTTCACTTGATTAGAACTGAATTCCAACTCATTTGACCAAATAATCAACAATCCCAACATAGACTCATCAACTAATCCAATAATTTCATATCAAATTTTGCTCAATTTCACCAAATTAACCAACGATTTTGGCTCAATTCCATCAAATAATAAATTCTTTTGGCACAAATTCTTTCGAAAAAAATTCAACAATTTTACTGATTTTAGTTCAATTCAAAATCAATTTCATCACAATTTTAGCACAAATTCATCAAATAATCAACACCTACTCAATTTCACTCAATAAATTTTATTGGAAATCGAGTCTCAAGTAACTTTCTTTTCCCTCTTCACATTGACCGATCAGTTTTGTTTTACTATTATTATTATTACCATTCTAAAGGGTTGACTGGGTCCAATTCAACACTCCCAACCATGTAGGTCCACCGCCCTTGATTACACATGGTAAATAAAAAATGCCAATGGCTGAGCAACAGGAGACTCCATCAGGTCCATTCACTTTTAAATGAAAAATGCCATGGCTGAGAGTATTTTACAAGCTACATTTCAAATGGGTACCATTCAAATTTTACATGCGCTCCCCCAACTATTTAAATCGCTAGATTTTCTATTTTATTATAGAAGTTTCTTTTCTCCCTTCCAAGAAGGTGAAAAATTCAAGGTTTGACCAAGAATTGTACCAAGAATATTCCTGACGAAAGTTATTAACTAAACAATCAAACACCTTAAATTGGAAATTAATTTATAGAAAAATAGAATTACAAAGTATTTTTATATCTTTCACATATTTTTCAATTAATCACAACATATCCTTTCAAAAACAGGAGAAATAGCAGAACAATGTCGATCCTATTCCCTCCAAAATAATCTAACCCTATGTTACTTGGAACGCAGATCATTCAAGTACAAGGAACGGGAACAAAAACATGGTACATCAAATGCTCTAAAATGTGGTACAATGGGGGTAGAATTGTATAAATCACAATACCAGAATTTAAGAGACTACTACATATAACAACAATTATATATTAATTGTTAGACATTCAATAAAATAAAGTTACAAATTAGTCATGTAAAAACACAATTCTAGAAGCATTATGGCCCATTTATTTTATATTTGGTCTTGCAAAAACATTATTCTTTCTAAATTTTAGTTCATTATTTTTTATTTGTTTCATCCTATAGGAAATTTTAAAGAATTATACAGGGAAAATTTTGGAATCACTTGCGATCGCTAAATTCTCTGTTTTGGAACGAAAGTGTACCATGTTTCAGACTGTGCATTCTAAAATGCAAATTGATAAGGTTTGGTGTTTCTGGATCACATCTAACCTTATTGTAAGACAGAAGGCACGACACAAGTTGAGGAGAATAGGAAACTATACATCAGTTGATAGCCCAGGAAATGCAAAATTAGCAAGTGTGAAGCACAATAGCAAACTGACAACAGAAAAGATGTGAGACCATACCATTCAAGAATGCACTGAAGGTGGAACTCATGCTTGCAAGTAGTCACCTGGAAGTGATTATTAATCAGTATTTACACAAGTCATTTCCTCAAAATTTTAACACACGAGAGATAATTGTGTTTTACTGTTGAAGGGTCACTCTCAATGAAGGCCTCCAGGCATATACTGCAAGCATCATCACAGGATTCTTGAATTCCCCCCTCCACAAAAGCTGCAGCTGATGTCAAATGACTTTCAGTCTTATTGATCTCATCCATCCCTGGGACCTTGTAAACACAAAAACCATGAATTTGATATCAAAAACTGCACATAAATCCCAACACTTTTCCAATTCACACAATTCGTCTGAAATAAACAAAAAGGGATAGAATCCAACTTAGAACTGCCTACAGCTCAATTTTGGCAAGGAATATTAATTTAGAGGAGTATCTAAAACCTTATTTAGAGAGAAAGGCATGGAGGTAGGAAGGGAGGAGGGACAAAGCAACTGACCTCCATGGGAAGTTAAGCAAATTTGTTATAAACTAATTGTATAACTAAAATCACACACAGAGGCATACCCGGAGGAAAAAGCCCTAAACAAAGCCTCCCCTAATTTACCCACTAATGACATGACAGGTTACGTGTCAGTTTTTGATACGTCACAAACTCAATTATGTAATGAATTGTGGGTTCTAAATTGTAGGTCTCTAGCATTCCTCAGAAAATCAATCTCTTTCCTATAAAATTTATCAGATTTAACACCCAAAGAGAAGAACAATCATCATTATCACCCACAAAACCAACAAGATAAAATGCCATGTACCCATATATAATATGTCTATTTATGTAATTTTTTGTATGTTATGTCTCATCAATGAACCTCTTTATGAGAGTACCATAACCTTTTCAGACAAAGAAAGGGGAAAGCATGGAAAACCCATAATAGTGAGACAATGTAATCAAGAGAATATCCATAATATCAAATTATCAACCAAAAAAAAAAAAAAATCCAAATATATAGTAAGAAAAAGAAAACAAATTTATGACTGTTTAAGACAAGAGAACAAAAGATCGAATTGAACCCAATAATGTATAGATCGTATAAAATTTTGGGATTTCTTCAATTACCTCCATTCCAAACTGAGAATTGTTCTCTGAATTGTGTCAAGAATTGGCAAAACAGCCCATGAACAGGAGGTCAAGTTTTTTAATTCCCCCCCACTGGAAAAGGGAATCCTTCGAAGGGATAGACCAAAAACCCTAGACTTTTAGAGAGAGAAGGACGTTTTGGAGAGAGAGAGAGAGAGAGAGGGAGACAGAGATTAATGGGTAGGAGAGAAGACAGAGGAGATGATGGAAGACATGTCCACCTTTAACTTTTATTTTATTTTATTTTTTTATTTAATTTTATTTAATTCTGTTTTTGTGTTAGAAAAGTCACAATTGGCATCAGATGGTGGGGTCTCCACCCCCACTTTAAAAATAGGGTAAATCACATTTTTTTGCACATAGGGTAAATTACATTAACCATGAAACCCTTCATGGGTGTTGATTTAGGCCTTGTTTGAGGATAGATTTTTTTAGTAATTTTTTGACTTTTTAATTACAATATAATATAAAAATAATTAATATGTTTAAGATGATTTTTTGACTTTTTACGAAAAGATGTGCAAAAAGTAGAGAGAAAATGAAAGTTTTGACTTTTTGATATAAATTGTTAACTTTTTTATTTTTTTAGTGCCTTTTTAACTTTTTAACTAAAAAAATCACTTGCCAAACGAGGCGTTAATTATATTTTACCTTTTGACATTTTAAAAATTATGTTCTTATTTTTGTAATTAATAATTCCATTTTACAAACTATTTCTTTATATAAAAGACAATAATTTTTAATAAAAAAATAGAACAAATTACATTAAAAAAAAAAGTTAAGCAAAATAAAAATAAAAAAAAGTGAATGAATTTAATGTGTTCATCCCATCTAAATAATTGCAATAACAATGAGTTAGTGTAAGTTTTTAAACGTGATATATATTAAATCCAAACCTCAGGGGTGTAAATGTAATTTATTCATAAAAATAAGAGTAAACTATCAATAGATTCTAATAGTTTGGCTTAATTTTTATCGAGTCCTATTGAAAATAACTTCTAATAAAATTGTCGCTAAAAATATTTTTTTTGTGATAATTTTTTACATATGTCGCTAAAATTGACAATTAGTGACTTTTTTGTCACGATTTTTTTATAAATTGTTATTAAAACTTATAATTAGTGACGTTTTTCTGTGATGAATTTTTCAAACTGTCACTGAAAGTTAAAAATTATTGACTTTTTTTGTACCGATTTTTTTAAATTGTCACTAAAACTTATAATTAATGATATTTTTTGTGACAAAATTTTCAAACTCTTGTTGGAAATTAACAATTAGTAACATTTTTCAATAGCGTTTGATGAAAAATGTCATTAATTATCATAGGATCTATTGGATAATAAATTCATTTATTAGGACCTATACGTACGTCCCCCAAAATGGTAAAGTGTCAATAGGTCCTAATAATTGAACTTAATTCCCATCAAGTACTATTAAAAATAAATTCTAATAAAATTATCGTTAAAAATAATTTTTTATAATAATTTTTTCCATATATCGTTCAAAATTGATAATTAGTAACTTTTTTTTGTCGCGATTTTTATAAATTATCTCTAAAACTTATAATTAGTGACTTTTTCTATGATGAATTTTTCAAACTGTCGCTGAAAATTAAAAATTAGTAACTTTTTGTGATGATTTTTTTAAATTGTCGCTAAAAGTTATAATTAGTGACATCTTTTGTGACAAAATTTGTAAACTGTAGTTGAAAATTAACAATTAGTGATATTTTTTAATAGTATTTAATGAAAAACGTCATTAATTATCATAAGACCCATTAGTCAATAAGTTCACCTATTAGGATCTATATGTAAGTATCCCCAAAAAAATTGATATACAAGTCTATTTTTTTGGATATAAGCTCACCTTCATATCTTATCTTTCCATGCCTCTTTATACTCTTCTCGTAAGTTTCAATCCGGACTCGTATTGATGATCCGAACCATCTATCTCGTAGGCCCTACAATAAAAGTTATCCATTTAAAAAATCAACTTCACCAAAAAATTATAAATACAAAAATAAATCACATTTTATTTTATAAAATGAATGATAAATATAATTAAATTTGAACTATCTGTTTTATAAAATAAAATGCGATTTATTCTTATATTTATAATTGTCCGATAAAGTTAATTTTTTGTGCGGATAACCTTCATTGCGGGACTAACGAGATAGATGATTCAGATTATCAATGCAAATTCAAATTAAAACTCATAAAAGGAGTATGTAGAGATATAGAAAGATGAAGTATGAAGGGGAACTTATCCCAAAGTAGGTCTAAATTTTGGACCTAAATAACAATACTAAAAAAAAATGTTATAACCAAATACTGAAAGAGGCTTGACACTCACGAGTCCTAACTAAAATAATGTCATAATTAAAGAAGAAAATTATATAATTAAAGGTACATATGGTACACCCCTTTCAAAGGAAGAAAATTGTATAATTAAAGGTGCATATGGTAAACCCCTTTCAAAGGATATGTATAGTAAAATTTTCCTTATTTTAAATTTAAATTTAAATTTGATTGTCGTGTTTAGATTAATAGAGTTTATTATGGGTCATATTTCAATAATCTAAATTATTTAATTTGTAAGAATCTCCAAGTATATTGTCCATGAAAACAATTAGATTAATATGATAATCGAAATTTTTTTATTTTTATTTTATCACGCTAAAAATAGATGACAAGTGTATAGAGATGGCAATTTGAACCCGACCCAACGGGGACCGAACCCCCAGACCCTGATTAGAATGGTTTTTCTCTGAAAAATATCCCCGACGGGCTGGAGATGGTATTCGAAAATATATCCCCGACAAGTTTCGGGCCGGGGACGGTTATGCATTCCCCGTCCCCATCCCTGTTTCCCTCGAACTGAAATTACTATTATACCCTCTATCTATTTATATTATATACCCCTCTCTCTCTCAGACAGACCCCTCAATTTCTCTCTCTCTCTCTCTCTCTCTCTCTCTCTCTCTCTCTCTCTCTCAACCCTAATCTCAAACCTACATCGATCCAGACCAGATCCAGTGCGTCTCTACCTTTGACAAGGTCGCCAAGGTCACTATCCTTAAGAACCGCTGCTCCGCTATCTTCCGTTGCAGTACCGCCGCAACACTTCCTCTACCATTCTCAAGAACAGCTGCTCTACCTTCCTCCATCGCAGCACTTCCTTTGCTATCTTCCATCGCAACACCGCTGTAGCACCTTCTCTCTCGCTTCTCTCCTCATTTCTTTCCTCTCGCTTTCTCTTTCCTCCTTCTCGCTCTCTCTCAATTCTGATAGTGAAACCTAACCAACATCTCGAGATACGGAATGTCAGCCATGTTTCAACATAAATCTGAGTAAATCCACATAGATCCATGAGCCATCCACATAGATCTGTGTGTATGTGTACATGTGTGTGTGTATATGTGTAAGTGTGTATTTGTATCCATTTTTTTTTAATTGTTCATTTGTTGTATATGTTGTGGTTATTGATCTGTTGTGGTTATGGTTGTTGATCTGTTGTGGCTGTGGTTGTGGTTATGGTTATTGATCTGTTGTTGTGGATGTTGTTTTTGTACGAGGATTTTTTGGGATCGGGGATCCTCGATCCTGGTTAGGGAGCGAGGGCGCGATGATTGGTTTCCCGCCGAGGAACGAAGATGGGGACAGGGAATTTTGTGTCTTCAGGGATCAGAGATAGGGAGTATGATCCTGGGCTCAGCCCCATTGCCATTCTTACAAGTGTATTTTGAAAATAGATCATCTGTTTATTTTTAAAGACAAATGCAATAAAATGAAAATATCACAATCATTTAATAGACTTAATTTTTTTATTCGTTGATTTAAATTATCGAAATGAGACTCATAATAAATTTCATAAGTCCAAACATGACGATTAAGTTCAAATTAAGAGAAACTCAATTAATATATGAAAGGTACAATATGTATTAGTTGGGATTCACTTTGAATATTACGTAGGTCATATTCAAAATAAAGTATATATTTTGTGTGTGTGTTTTTTTTTTTCATGTTTTAATTTTATATAGAGCTGCAAATGAATAGAGCCGTTTGTGAACATGCTCGAACTCGACTGGGTAAGAGCTCATCCAAACTCGGTTCGTTAAATTTTTTTTGCATTCGAGCTTGAGCTCGTTAAATTTTTAATAAATAAGTCCAAATATTTTAAAACCCGGCTCATAAGCTCAACTCGTTAACTGGCTTATTTAATACTTATTATTTATATATTAAATAATGTAAAAATAATAATAAAAAATAAGATAAATATGTTATTTATATATTTAAAAAATTTAAATGTAAATAATAGTTAGCTATAGATAGTACATTTATATAATAATGGTGTACATGCAACACTGTTGTTTGTCAAATTTATTCACTATGTTTGTTTTCAGTTTTTTTTAAACACTTTTCAGAAAATTCTACTTTTTTGTTTTTCGCATTTTTTTTTACCGAATTTTTTTTAAATATTTTAAATTTTTTAAAAAAAATTTTAGACACAAAAAAGTATAAATTTCGTGATTTTTTTTTAAAACATTCACTAAATACCAAAAATATTAAAAAAAAACAAAAATTCAGTATATTTTTGTGTATTTATTAATTTTTTAAATATTTTACTTTTTAGATACATCTAAGTAAGATGCATATAAAAATGTTTAAAAAAATGTTTAAATTTTTAAAAATATTCACTGTAAGATGCATATAAAAATGTTTAAAAAAATGTTTAAATTTTTAAAAATATTCACTAAAAACAAAAAAAAAACACAAAAAATAAAAAATAAAAAATTTAATTTTCAAAAAATTAAATTCAAAAAACTAAAATAGACACACTGATTAGTTTTTGTGGTATTTTCTTTTTATTAATATAAAGCTTAAGAAAAATTGGTCATAGAATTAAACACAAAATATATATAACCATACCATTTTTAGCATAAATTGTAATTTTCACTTTGAAACTTCACTTTATTTTTTAATTACAACATGCTGTTGGACAATCTTCACTGTATTTAAATAGATTAAATTCTGTTGTGTACAAAACAACAACAAGAATATAAAGAAATAAAGAAAATGAGAGAATTTGTTTGATTACAAAAATCAAACTCGAAATAATAAATAAATAAATAACAGATTTTATTTTGTTACAAAAACAAAATTTAAATCTGAT